TTTTTTATTTGCAGAAATCCCCATGGGTCTTTATGTTTGTCATTTGTTTAGTGTTTTATGTAATGTTTACAGTTGCACTTATTGTAGGAGTGTCTTTGCTTTGCTTTCAAACTGGATCTTCCTGTATATTGTTCAGTTAGTGTGTGTGTGTGTGTGTGTGTGTGTGTGTGTGTGTGTGTGTGTGTGTGTGTGTGTGTGTGTGTGAGTGAGTGTATGTATATGTTTATATATATAAATGCATCTTTATAAGGACCTGCCTGCTTGGATGAGATTTTTTTTCTCTGTTTTGCACGAGCCAATTTATTGCACTATTTTCTTTAGTATACTTGTATCTGTTAAACTTTGTGTAGAAACGTATAGTGTAATTTTTGTGATCTGAGTGGCATCATTTGATTTGATTTGAAATGCAATCCAAAGGTCACATAATTTCTTATTATTTGCTTGGCTGCTGCACTGTCCACTGTATGATGGACATCTTAACTCTTTCTGAATTCTGATTGTAATTTTAAATTGTTATTGTTTGTTATGTTATTGTTTATGCACTTGATGTTGAAATGTTTTTATATTTGATTACAAGTAAATTTGTCACTTTGAGGCATTTTTATTGGCTCCATTTGTATTTGTGACATTGTGATACGCTTTGAAAATAAATTAAGTATATCTTTTGAAAATTTTGACAGCTGAAGTCTGTATTGCTGTGGATTTGTTTGCATTTTAGTCATCTTATTCACAAAATGTTTATTATTATTTCTGACCCATTTTGAGTCATTTTCAACCAGCAGTGCAGTGCTTTTTAACTAAAAGTTTGGTTAAAAATCACAACCCAGCATGCTGGGTTAAACATACAAACCTAGCTCAACAAACAATCCAGTGCTGGTTTTGGTCCTTTCAACCCAGCGCTGGGTTGCCAAAATAACACAAATTTTGAACCCAGCATTTTTAGAGTGTAGTCCAACAAGCTTTAATGTGTCGATGTGTCAGCAGCACTTGTTCTAATGAAATGCAGACATTTGAATAGACAACAATGAGTTAAATAAAGAAATTCCAATGAAAAATATTATTCAAAGATCGTATACTGTGTAAATTTGCTTTGTCAGATTGTCTTGCAGTATGATATTTTTGTAACAATGAACCACTACACCACATAACAAACAAATAACAAAGGAAATTTTGCATTACACTTCCTCATGTGAGTCAGTCCATAAGCCTAACAATGATATTTAATCTGAGGGAAAACCAGTTCTCCAATCAACGGTTCACTTTTCTGCCCACTTTATGACTGCCAGAATTATATTGGGCTTGACTTTCTAATAAAAAAATTATATATATATGTTCCAGGTATTTCGAGCAGCAGATAACAGATCAGCTTTGCAAACATAACCCAGTTTGTC